ATAATATAACTATTGAAAATTAAAATAATAAAAAACTAAAATAACCTCAGAAGCTAATTTTGCAACAATTATGCAAACATATTCAAATGTCAAAAAGAATTCCAAAAAAATAGTAACTATTGGAAAACATATACCTTAAAACAAAAACGCACAAACAACTTAAAAACACTGGCTCAACTCACTTATTTTGTGTAATGTTTGTCAACATGTTTTGTGTCATAATCACAGCGTTCTCCAGTTCCTTTAGCATCAGTGAGTCCTCACAATTCTTCAGATTCGCATGCAGTTGCATGACTGTTTGTGTTGTTGTATACAAATTGTTGATCACATTGTGCACTTGTGATTTCGCTAAAATGCAAAACAGAAAATTAATAAATAAAATAATTAAAACATATCAATAAATAAAAAAGAAATAAAGCAAAAACTTACGATCACTGGCATCTAGTGCGCCAAATTCAGGCGCCTCAAATGCGCCACGCTGCTTCATCACATTCGGACTGTTGAGCACTTTGCTCTTGTGATCGAAGGTCAAATTGCGCGGGCGTGGTGGCACTATTGGTTTGGAGTTGGACGTGCCGGCGGGTGTCTCCTCGGAGCTGGAGTCATCTTGCAGTGGCGTGGCTAATGAAAACGGGGAAGAGAAGGAAGTAAATTAAAAATAATTTAGTAATAAAAATATTTTGCTCACCATTACTGAAATTTGGCTGTAAGCCTTTTCGTCGATTGTTGTTGGCATTCGAATTCTTGTTGGCATACTGACGATTGGCGGCTAGCGTAAAAAACATATTAATAACATATGTGTATACAGGCAACACTTGCATATATAGTGCTGTACTTACCCGTGGGACCATTGCTGCGATTTTGATTGTTGCCACTGCTTCGGCCACGATTGCTGTCTTCGTTTTCCGAATCGCTCTACAAATTTAATGGATATTTAATTATTATTATTAGTTTGACTCCAAGTACGCCATTCACTGTGAATGGCGGTCAGTGCATGTCTGTTAGTTAGTTGCGTCCGAAGTCTAGTCGGCGTATTGTCTTATGTTGTCGATGTAGTTAGGGAATGTTATTGTAATACATACCGCTTGATTTAGCACACCAATTGATGAACTGGATGCACCCAAACCGACAGCAGAGCTCTTCAGCTGCAAACTATTGCGCTTATTCGCCGATCTTGTTGTTGTACTGTTGCGATAAACCACACCGGGATTTTTCAATTGACTGCCGTTTGACTTGCCAGCTGAAATGAAATTAAATGATTATATATTATATATATTAAATTATTTATTCATGAAGTCAAACTACTCACATTTGCCAAGGTTTCCCATATGCAAGTCACTTAGCGAACAAGAGCGCCGCATAGAGGAGTCTTCGACTGGCATTGGAAGGAGACTTTTTGGATTGCCTGTGAAAAAAAATAATAAACATGAAAAAAATGAAAAAATTAAAAACAAAAAATGCTTATGAAATACAAAAATATGTGTAAAAAGTAAAAATTATATTGTTAGAATAAGGTAATATATTTTCATGAGATAATTGCATATAAGTTTTAATAATGGATAAAAAAATAAATAAATCGTATAACTAAAAATATTAAAAAATTTAAGACATAATGAAAAGCCAAAACAAACGTTAACACCGACGACACCGAAGCTCCAATACCCTTCACAGTTGTATTTTTTATAGCATGAAAGGGTATAAATCTTGATTTTGATCGTTCAGTTTGTATGGCAGCTATATGCTATAGTGGTCCGATTGGAACAATTTGTTCAGAGATTATACCCTCGGCTTGAACAATAATATCTGCCAAATTTCGTAATGATTTATTGCCAAACAAAAAAGTTTTCTATACAAGAATCAGATTTTGATCGATCTGTTTGTATGACAGCTATATGTTATACTTGTACGATTTGAAATTTTTTTTATGAGAATACAGTGTGACTTTACATAATAATCTATGCCAAATTTCATAAAGATACCTTGTCGAATAAAAGAGTTTTCCATACATGATTTTGATGGATCCTTTTGTTTGCCAGCTATGTGCTATAGTAGTCCGCTATCGGCATTTCTAACAAATCGAGAATTTCCTTTCGAAGCAAAGAACGGTTGCAAAATTTCAGATCGATATTGAGTGTAAACGGATAGACGGATGGACCTGGGTAAGTCGATTCAGCTAGTCACGCTGATCATATACTTATATATAAGTTGTCGAAATCAGTTTTAAATATTACTAACAACTGTTCATGTTATGAGTAATATAGTAAAGTAATATACAAAGTAATATAGGACTTTTATCGGAAACATACGAATGCATTAATGGGACACATCCGAATACTTTGTACCGATTATAACGTTTTGTGGACAGTCTTTCATATTACTAAAAACGGTTAGATGAACAAAGCCATTTTTTAAAAATATATTTTGGGAATATCAATTTCAGAAAAAAATATAAAAAGTAATTTTTATAAATAATGTATAGAAAAAATATAAAAAAACATAATTTTTATAAAAAAAAAAATTTATAAAAATTAAATAAAACCAATGTAATTGAAATAAAGTATGACTTAGATTACAACAAAATATTTTTAAAAAATTTATTAATTAATATTAACAGTGGTTTAGTGGTAATGGTTGTGGTCGTGGCTGAAGGATGGTTTAAATAGAAAAAATTACCTTATTTTTTTTTTTCAAATGAGAATATGCATGTAAATAAACGCATTATGTACCTTGTATTTTTGGAAAAGCGAAAAAGTGTATGAAGGCATGATTAAGGTGAGCATTAAAGACACAAAAGAAAATCAACAAATATTTGCCACGAAACAAACGAAGTGATCCGAAAAAGAATCTGAACCAAAATAACAACAGTGCGCCGGTGAAGAAAACACACAAAAATTTAAAATGTAAAGAATTCCACAAAACGAAATATGTGCCAAAATATTTATCAAGTGAACAAACTATGTGAACGCACGCAGCAAACCTCGATCCTTTTCATCGAAATCAATGCGCATCTTCTCGCTTTCATGTTCGTCGACCACATTGTCGGCCGCCTCCACATCCGAGTCGGCCTTCACCTCCTTCGCCAGCTCAACTTCATCCTCATCTGTTGATGAGGAGTGCGCAGCCGGCGGCGACTTGCCAAACAGATCGGTGCGCTCCAGCACATCGGGCAAACTAATATTGCGCTTGATGTGACGCGCATAGGCGCACAAATCCGCATCATTACTGTCGGCACGTATGCGCCGTTGCTCGTTCTCGATATCCTTCTCGATACCTTTGGCGAGCATATCGAAATTCATGGTTAGACTCTTCACATAACCCTTCTGCTTGGAGTTGCATTCGAAGGGACGCATGCGCGACTCGGTGGCAATGCGTATTTGCTCCAGCTTGCGCTCTTCCATTTCGATTAATTTTTGTATGATATCGATTTTCTTGGCAATATTTTTGCACTGATTACTGGTGGTCGTGTCGGCCGCAGTTGTCTTCTCCACATTGGCCATATTCTTTTTATGTTTGGCATCACGCACACGCTCCTGCTGTATCTCGTCGACGACCGCTTGCAATTCGGGTTTGGTGTATAATTTTAGACTGTCCATATTCATATTTTCATGTTCATTGCCATTTTCGGCTATATACATTTCGAAGGAGCGCTCGCCACCATAATCGCTGGGCAGACTGCCAACAATTGGCGGTGGCGATTCGACGTTGCGATTGATATCGTTTAGCGGACACGTGGCGGTTTCACGCTCCATTGTCGCGCAGGCAGAATAGGCGGACGCGGTGCTGCCGCTGCTGCATGAGGACGAACGCTTCTCGCTAGGTGTGTACTTGATTTGGGATACTGTATTGAAGCGCACCGCTACTTTGGGGCGACCGCGCGTGCGCATGCTTGTGGCGCGTCGCGACGCTGGCACATTTTTGGCGTTCGTATCGAATTTCGAAACTTTCTTCAAACAACTGTGTGTGGTAAGCGCGCCACTGCTCACAGATGGGCGCATGCCGCACGCTTTTTTCGTTTGCAACTCGGCTTGCTTTTCACGCTCGAACTTTTGTAGATTGCGCTCGAATTTACGCACGACGCTGGCAGTGCGCGACTGGCAGCGCACATCGGTGGTGTCCACATCGAAGGCACAGTACTTGGGCGCTGTATCTCTGGGTGCGCTGCTAGCATGCGGTGTCTCTACAGTGGATGTGAGTGTTGAAACGAGATTTTGCGGCTTTGCTGGCACGGGTGGTTTCGGTTTCACGGTCTTCTTAGTGAAGAGCTTGTCATCGTAAGTGTTGCGCTCCATTTGTAGCGGATTCGTGTTGCGTTGTAGACGTTGTTGCGCAAAGTCCTGACTCAGACTCTTGTTAACACCCGAATTGTATTGCTTGTTCTTCGAGCTGAGCGTCGGTATGTCTTCCGCTTTGACGCCGACAGCTGTACGGCTCGGCGTATCAGCGATTCGGGGATATGTTTTCGAGTTGGGCAGTTTCTTTTGCAATATCGGCGTTTTAGTGCGCACACTTTCGGTTTTGAAATTCTCCAAATTATAGCTGGACACGTCAAAGCTCTCATAAGGCAACGGCGAATGTTGCATATTACGCTGTTGCATGTAGTAATCAAAGCTGCCGTAAGCATTTGGACTGGAACCGTACGATTTGGTCACCAGCTGTGTGGTGTTGGCTGCCGCGGCGCTCACCGGTCCATGCAAAATGAAGTTGCGTATGCCAGCATGACGTTGCACTTGCGTTTCCATAGGCGCGCTCTTGCAATCGCTTTCATCCGACAATATGCTCTCCATGCTGTTGCAGTAGCTGCCTTCATCCAGAAACTCATCGGAAAGTAGCGACTCCTGACTCTTGCGCTCGCCAAATTGCGAGGTGAGAAAGAAACTGGCGCTTGAGTGGCGCTGTGTTTCGAGAAAACGCGCCTCCTCAGTGCGACGCGTCTCTGCCTGCTGTTCCGGCGCCAATATATCCGACAGCGAAACATTACGATGACACTGATAAAATTCCTGATAGATGTAGTACTCGGACACTGCACGTTTTGGCGGTGTCAGAGCGCCGGGCGAGTGCATTTGATAGGGTAGCGTCTGTGTGAAGTGTGGCCCAGTTGTGGGCGCTATAGGCGCCTGCCTGCTTGTCGCATACACAGGGGGCGAAAGACAAGACGGCACCGATTGTGAAGCCACAAGCTGAGAATAGCGTCCGCCCAATTTGGCGTCATATAAATCGACACCGATATCATCCAGATCACCATACTTCTTCTGTATTTCCTCAATCATCTTCTCGGTGTCGGCCTGTATCATGTCGAGTATGGTGCGCGCATCCTCCGCGTATACCGAGTGGCGCTTCGGTTCGGTTATTATAATGCTGCTCTTATTATCCGCCGACCATTCGACCTCCTCATGCACTGGCGACACAGGGCAGGACTTGTAGTGCTTCAGTATGCTCGGCGTGCGACGCGCATTACCTGCCGGATTGCGTTTGACGCGCGTATGCTGACCTTGCGCGGGCAGCGTCGAGCTATTGAAAGCGCCCGCCGACAGTTTGCCGCTATGTTGCGTTTGCGTGCGCGGTGTAGTGTTGCGCGCATTGGGCGCCATGAAGGGTACGCCAGGCGGTGGATGTATTTGGTGTACACCCACGTGATGCGGATATGGTGGATAGTGTTGTTGCACTTGACGCATAGCTTGACAGCTTTGTTGCAGCACCGAACGCGATGCGGCGCAATTAAAGAAATGTTGTGGTGTTTGTTGTTGGTCTTGACTAAACGATTGTTGGAGTGGTGAACGTGGGTAGGTTGGATATTGTGGCGAAGTTTGGAATTGTCGTGGCGTAGATATTTGTTGCGTTTGTGGCGGCATCTGTTGCTGTTGTTGTGGTGTTGGTAATGTTTGTTGTTGTTGTTGCAATGSGGAATTATAATAGCTAGCGTACTGTGGGGGTTCATTAAGAGGAGCTACTGATTAGTAAAGCAAATATTAGTAGTTAAAGTAAAGGCAGAAGTTTAGCAGTATTTTGGATCCAAATATGTATATCAATTTACAAAGCCGCATGTACGAGAGGAGAGAAAATACGGAGCACAGTAAGAAATATATATGTATATATGTAAATACGATGAGTATGAGCGTATAGCGGTTAAATTAGTTGTTACTAGGTTTTTCAGTTATGGAACTCTATAAACTACCAAGGTACGATAGGCTAGATAATTCTACTAGAAACTGTTTTAAATGTGAATTGACGTTTCATTTAGAAAAGTTATTTTAAATCGACAATTTTGAGCCGATTAATTTTGATTAATTTAATTTAGTGATTGCACATTTAACGCATATTGATATTAATTGAATAAAATCACATTAATTTTAATAAAATTAAAGAAAAATTAAAAATTACGAATTGAATTAAATGAACCTAAATTAAATAATTACTGAATTTAAAATTAAAAACTTAATTGTATTGAAATCCTAATTAATTTATTAATTAAATTTAAAAAATTAATTGAATTGATTTTAATTAAATGAATCTGAATTGATTAATTAATTTAAACTAATAAATTTTAATTTAATTTAATTTATTTTATATCGMTTCGTTAATTAACTTTAATTTTATAGCTTCCGTTAATACGATTAATTGATTAAATTATATTGACGTTAATTTAATTCAATACAATTCAATTAATTTTAATTTAATTACTTCTGTAAATTCGATTCAAATATTATATGCATAATTCTGATTTTAAGTTAATATTAATTTTACTTGGGTAAAACCACTATAATTCCAATACAATTAAAGAAAAATTCAATTGTAGGTTGACTCAGAGTTGTCACTTCAAAATAATAAATTGAAATAAATGAACCAAGATTAAATTAAATCCAAGATTTCGATGGCACTGTTTTAAGTCAATTAATTAATGTAATTGAATAAATCCGCTAAAATTAATTTAATTAAATTAAGATTAATTAAAGTTAAAGTTTAATATTAAAATTCACTATTATTATAAAACTAATTAATTAGGGTCAACGAAACTAAAAGTTTTTTATATATATTTTTTTTATATTGAATATATGTATTTAATTAAATTAAATTAATTTTAGTGAATTTTAATTAAATTATTTGATTAATTAATTCAATTCAATTTAATTTAGATGGATTTTATTCAATTAACTTTAGTTTACTCACTTCCGTTTTTCCGGAACAAATTTAATTCTGATTTAATGAATTTCTACAGTGATAATTATTTCAATTAAAACTTTCGCATATAAATTATATTAATCTATTTACAATTCCATTAATTCCACACCCTTCCTTATAGTTAATTTCATTCAATTAAGTTCAGCTTAATTCAACTAACTTACAGTTATACATATGAATATACATATATTGAAATCTAGTCACTCTAAATCACTATAACTTAAATCCTAACTGTTAATTGCATTTCTTCCGATTTCACTCACCTGTCTTTGCATAACGGTTAGCGGCGGCCGCCGATCGCGACGCATTATCCATATTGCCCGCTAGACTTAAATCCGAAATGCTGTGACTGCCACGCAGCGAGCGATAGCCGACCTGATAAAAAATTAAGAATACATATTTTAGTTATAAAAAAGATGTAAACAAAGAATTTAATTAATTAATTATTAAAGAGTTATGGAAATTTGTATATTAAACATTTATAAGACAAAGCGCTAACATTTAATTACATATGCTTGTATGTATGTAAGTATGTACAGGATTATTAATATTAGTAAAGCAAAACGTAATGCTTCTCAGTCATCTGCCTCCTCACTTTCAAATGCAACGATTGTGACTGATTACTTTATTACATCAAACTAAACTCATTTGCATATCCACATATATACATATGTACATGTAATGTCAGAGTTGCTTGTTTCGTGTTTGCTCCTTTTCTTGTTAACCTTTCACTTTCTTAACCATTGCGCTGCGCTATTTATAATTTAATGACTTGCGTCGCGTGAATCGCAACTCAATGCTTGGTTGGTAGCGCATCTCTTTCTGTCTTCACTTGTTGTGTGGCATGTGTTGGTGCAGAAGTTACCAGTAAAGTGCGAGTGGTATAACAAGCATCGGTGGTTCAGTGGTAGAATGCTCGCCTGCCACGCGGGCGGCCCGGGTTCGATTCCCGGCCGATGCAATTTACCTTTTTTCAAGTTTTTCGCACTATTTAATAGTGATAGTTTATTTATTTGTTGGAAATGATTTTATTATTTTTTTTTTTAGTAGTATGAATCAAACTTTTAGAGGACTTCAATATTGTTATACATAAACTGAATTTTATATACAGTTGCGAGCATTGAAATAGTAGTGGCTATTGAGAAAAATAGTTTCGCTTTAAATTTTGTTTCTTTTATGGTATTGAATTTGATTATTATTCTAGTTATATTCTCTGTAGCGTAACGGTCCTGTTAAACACAACAATACGTGCGAAACACTTACCGTTACTTTTTTACAGCTAACTATATTGTGATATCTGTTTTTATGAGCGATCATTAAAATTGTAGTGAACGGTGAGCTGATTGGACACAGATTATTTTTATTAAAAAATATTTAATTTTACCAATCAAAAAGTAAGTTTCTTGTTATTTTATTTATTATCCAAAAGAAAAAGCTAAAAAATATGACTGTGCACATTTTAGAGGGCCGCGGGAAGCACTGCAGTGAAGAGAAACGAAAATGGATTCAATCTCTCATAAACAGTGGTAAAACATACAAAGAAGTAGAAAGTCTGGTAGGGTGTTCAGCCACATTGATTCGCAATGCAATCATTTATAAAAAAAAAAAAGATGAAAAAAGGGGCGCAAGGCGGATTCTTTTTGAGAATTTTTTACGTAAAGTTGTAAGATGTGTTAAGATTGTAGGCCGAATGTCGGCTGTGGAGGTTCGGAACGAAGTGAACGTGCACATAATTTATATGCCCGCAGTCTTCGAAAAGTACCGTTACTAAGAAAAATGATGTAGCTCGACGTCTGAAATTCGCCAAGGAACACTTACCTTGGCCGATTGAGAAGTGGCGCAACATATTGTGGACTGACGAGTCGGAAGTGGTTTTATACGGCGGTAAAGGGTCCCATCAGTATGTAAGACGCCCCACTAATACAGAGTACGATCCCAGGTTTACCACAAAAACTTTGAATCATGGCGGTTCGAGTATCATGGTTTGGGACTATTTTTCTTATAGAGGCGTAGGCACAATTTACAAAATTACTGACATAATGGACCGTTACGCATACGTGAATATATTGCAGAAGATTATGATGTCATTTGCTGAAGAGGATATGCCGCTGAAATGGATACGAAACATACCAGTAGGGTGGCAAAGGAGTCAAAGGAATTGAGGTCATGGATTGGCCGGCTCAATCCCCTGACCTCAATCCCATTGAAAACCTTTTGGCAGACGTTAAGAAAGCCGTATGGAATTACAAACCCAAAAACAACAATGAGTTGTGGACCATAGTGCAGCAAGCATGGCAGAACATACCACTAAAAAGATGCCAGAGTCTCGTAGATTCTATGAAGAGGCGTTGTATTGCTGTTATTAAAAATCATGGTCATGCTACCAAGTACTAATATCTCGTATAGACGGTACTTCCAAAAATCGTTCAGTTTAAAAAAAAAATTAATTATTACTTTACTACTATTTTACTGCTCCCATTTACTTATTCACTTTGTGAATAAATATATCTTACACTCATTCAAATTAAAATATTTTTATTAATAAACGTAGCCAGGGAAACATGATACACTTTTCCTTTTCAATTGATGTTAAAATTGTTTACAATTTTACATAACTCACAGGTATGCAAAACTCTTAACACCCACTACTATTTCACTGCCTTCAGCTGTACATACATATATGGAATTATGTTTAATTTAGTTAATATATACATAAAAACTAAAACTGTTGAAACAACTGACATTCATCGATTGATGTACATATTTTAGTATGAAAAAAGTCGCACTGACTTACATAAGTTAATTTTTAGAAAACTTTAAAAATGTATACTGGTTACATTTTGTTCAAACGGTTCAAAAGCTACGGTATTTGTAATGAAAACCGATTTGTTTACGTGGCCTTTATATAGACATTTTTGAATACTGAGCCATAACTTTTAAAATTAAGCTAAGCATCTGTCTTAGCAGAGAATCGCTCTTTCTCTTTATTTAGGCTCATTTTAACCCATGATCGACAGCTTAAATTTTGGCTAATTCTAATGTACAGGGTCTACCAACAACAACAACGTGATGTTAAAATGAAACAAACCACTCAAATTTGGTCAATCTTCCGCAGAACTTTTTTCTCGAAAACTTATAAAGCCGACTCATCAGATGTTAACATCGTCCGTGCATCGCACCATATAGCAGGACGGGAATAATGAGGAACTCATACAGTTTGGTCTTTGTCGTCGAGAGAGGACTGACTGCAAATAATGAAACGCGACATGGAGAGATGGCAAACCTTACTGAACACACCAACAAAATTTAAAGAAAATCCGTAAATAAACATCATCCCCATTTGCATATTCTGACAAAAAAGTACACGGAAAGTATTTTTTAATTAAATTTCGTTTGCAGACTTGTTGCGAATGATGGAATAGGCTTACTGCGATCCACTTTTATTAAAAACACCAGACTACGAGTGGTACAAAGAGTTAGAGAGATGGCTAGAGAGCTCGACATCTTGCACGACTGCATTCGAATGATTTTGTTGGATATTTTGATTGTAATTAAATACTGAGTTTTTTTTTCCAAAATTATTACCGTGAGCAGGTCTGTTTAGATAAGCTTGACGTGCAACTTCCAATCCCACAATCATGAACTGACTGCCAATTAAACAATCATCTGAATTGAACCCGATTTCGGGCTGAAGGAGCTAAAGGCCATCCCAAAAAGTGCTTATGAAAATGTTTATGTTTCGAGGACTGGAAAAATCGTAGGCATAAGTGTACTGCATTTGGTTCATAAAGGTCACGAATTTATATCGTTTCAAGTAACGTCAACTCGGTAATATTCTCTAAAATTATTTTCCGTTTTTTCGACTCCACAAAAACATTAGGTTATAGGAACAGTCAATTATATTGCTATATGGTACTGCCTACACGTACTCCTATTAAAATATAGTAAATTGTCTTAATTGATGATATAATGTTTAACATAACCTCACTAAAAAAAAAAAGATTTATAAATTGATCTCAAAGCAGAAACTTTCGGAACACAATTCATTATGAGACAAGTCAACTTAAGTTAATGGACAATTTGAGTAATTCTGACCAGTTTATATGACCATACGCCAATAAAGAAATATGCAGAGTTCGAAAAACATTAAGGTAATTGCAAAAATCAAAAAAATAAAGCTTGCCTTAACTGGAGTTAGCATAGTTTATGAAATTACTATAAAATTTTAAGTTTTTGAAATGAAAATGATAACCGTAAATATTTTTTTCTACAAAACAAACTTTAAAATGTTTTTGTGTACATTAAATCTTGTATTTGTAAACATATTTATGAACTAATTTATTAAACGCCAATAGAAATTAGTATCAGCGGCGCAATTCTCTAGGTTCTAGGTTATGATTTAGTAAACAGAATAATTATTAAGTAATCAAAAATGAAAGCGACATCCATGTACATGCGTTTATGGCCAATGAAAATTCAGAAAATAAAATATTGTAGAAATGTGGGTGCGCTGAGCCATTAGAGATGTGCACATATGTAACGATTATGTAAACTATGCCAATTAGACGAAATAAGCGAAACAAAGTAGAAAAGCGAAATTATTACGACTGTGTATGTGTGGGTGAATATGTACACCAGTTTTAGTAGAGAAGATTGAGGACTTCAAGTAAGCGTCAGTTGCCTTAGTGCGTGTTACAGAAATTGTTACAGCGTGTTCGTTTTAGATATTTCTCACCTCCGGTATTGCATTCAACCTCTTAACTCCATTTTTACGTGCGCCCTAAGCACAAAACGTCGTGTACAACCCGTCAACAACAAATACAATCACCAAACAGGAAAATATATATATATATTTTTTTTTTGGTTTTGGTTTGGTGTGGATTTTTGGTGAACCAAGACACATAAGAGAGATAGACACAGGATTAGGGACGAAACAAATAAAAATATTTAAGTGAAAAAACGCTTACAAATGCTATTAGCATAGATATGTAAGAAAATATATGTATGTGCAGGGTGTGTGTACTTACGTTCTCCAATTGCTGTTTCACTTCGCTGATCACCTTCAGCAGCTCGTCTTTCTTTGTGCTGGTGAACGACTTGGTGATAGTGGACGCGCTGGAAACCGGCTTACCGTTCTCTGTGTTATGTTTGGCACTAATACTGCGTCGATCTGCAAAATACACAACATTATAGTGGGAAGTGTTACAATTTCCAAAATTCACAACTTACTTGTGCTGCCACGCTCTAGCATGCTGCCAGGGCCCTCGGGCAAGGCGGCCTGCAGGAAACTGCTTGCCGCTTGTGGTATACTCTCCGAGCTGCCGCCTAAGGTGGACGCCAGCGAGCGTTCGGCATTCTCAGCGCTCGGTGTTGAGCCTTCGTCTTCGGTGTCCGAGGTGCCGGTGCCGGTGCCAGTGCTGGCGGTATGTGTGCTGCCATTGCCGGGCAGCGTCAGCCCAGCTTTATCGAATTTCTGTCTACGCATCGACTTGCGCAATTCATCTTCATTCATGGCGGTCACTTTGAAGTCACTGAAAATATTGAGAAAGTAATTAATTTTACTAACAATGTTGCTGTGGTTGCTGCCATTCACTTACGTTGGCGTGCTGGGCGATATGTTGTTGTAGAACATGCCGTGATCCGAACTAGTGCGTTCGCCATCCGAAATATCCTCGACATCGCCATCATGTTCATTGGATTGTGGATCGAAGCGCAAACCGGGCTTGCGTTTCTCAGGCGCCAAGCGATTGAGCGCTGTGCCACCATTGCTACCGGTCACCGTTGGCACTGTACCGCTGTTGTTGCTACCAATGAATTTCAATTCGCGACGCGTTTCCATGCCGGAGTCAATTGACGAATCTTCACTGAGGTAAGTCTGGTTATACATAATGTCCTTGGACGATGCGCTATTGTAATCGGATGTTTGTGTATTCCCCATACCACCGCCACTCACAACGACACCAACACCACCACCCACGCCGCCCATACCACCAACGCTCGAGGTTATAGTGCCCAAAGGACTTTCGGAATTCGAACGCAGATCGTCTGGATCAAATGGGCCACGTTGTGCCCAACGGCCACGTGCACGCGGCACACCACCCACACCTAATTGGCTGGGTGATGAACTCAAATTGGACGTTGACGAGGCAGACTGCATGGCGGAGACGGTTGAGCCAGGTATGGAGACGCCAACGCTCTCATCAGCATTTGCCGCAGCCTTTCGTTTCGCCCATTGCGGTAATTGACCAACGTCCGAAAATTTATAGCCCGGCGTCAGTGCCGGCTCCTCGGTGAACATTGACGGCGATGCGATGAATTTGTTTGGTGTTGCCGTCTCCTCCAATTCATGTGTTGGCGACTCGACTATGATGCCCTCCGGCGTGGCGATAATTGAACCGGGACGGGGTGGTAGCGGCGCATGACCAGAACGTAGTCGCTGTTGTGAGAGACGCGCTTGCATTGTGACAATCATATCGTGTGGCACTTGCCACACAAAAATACAGCCATCACCGCTGGCCGAAATGAGATGGCGACAGTCGTTGGTAAATTTGAGCCCAGTAACTAACTCACTGTGACCATACATGCGTGCCATACACTCATTGGAATAGTAATCGTAGACTGCAAGCGTTTTATCTGTGCACGAGGTAGCCACATAAATGCCGCTGGGATCGAGGCTGAGCTTAATCAAACTACCCTCATCCGAGTGTGAACCCTTGAAGGTTTTTGTGTGTTTGGCGTTTTGTGTGCCATAGACGCGTATATTGCGATCTTGGCAGGCGGTGAGTATGTGTTTGGCATTTGAGTCCACTTCCATGTCATACAAAGTTGTTTTGCCGGAGGTATTTGTGCCGCGCAGAAAAATGTTGCCCTGTACACAGAGTGAGAAAACGAAATATATTAAAATATGCGAGTGTCAAAGGCGTCTAACACTTGCTTAAAATACCTGGAATGTTCTGAACATAATCGACTTGTCGGCACCACAAGAAATCATTTGGAAATTCAGACCGGACCCCACAAATCTGATCGAAGTTATGGAGGATGAGTGATCGTCCAATGTCTGCAGCAGCAAGTAATCTTGTGACACATCGAATACGTGTATTAGACGATCACGACTCGCGCTCGCTAACAACTTCCGTTCGATCTTCTCATTCGAGTACTCAAGACACAACACTTCCGATTCGTGTGCCTCAATTGACATGATGAGCTTTGTGTTCGCCAAATTATAGATTCTTATGTTGCCGCAACGATCGCCGCTGGCCAAATGCTGCAACTCCGGACTAATTCGTATGCAGCGCACACCGTTACGACCGTCATAGGCGGTATTGGAGTTTTTATCGCCCGAAAGATCTTGATCTTTGATAAAATTCATTTCTTCGTCGATGTACATTATTTTCAAAAGTTCCTTGGAGTAGATATTTTTACGATAATTTTCCGTGTTTGTGCAGCCATCAAGACCCCACACGCGAATCGTATCGTCCGAAGAGCACGTGACAAACGACTCTTCGGGCAGTGTATCCGACAATTCGCGCTCCATATTGTATGGCACAGTTTCCACGCCCCAAATACAGGTGGAATGATAGAGAAAAGAGTGCGATTTGCCCACACGTTTTATATCCCGCATATCCCAAATATAGAGCGAATGATCATTGTACACGCAACTGACCTGTGGAATAAAAGCACGAGAGAGATGGTTAGTGAGAGTTTTTGATGATAACTAGTTGAGCGCTACCGATTTGCTTACCTTCGATCGCTGCTCATCATAAACCATCGCCACACAGTCCGGATATTTGGCATGGGGCGGCACGGTCATGATGTGATTGATATGTATACCCTGCGCCACATCCACACCCAGATAATGTGTACGCGGCAATGTCGTCACATATTCCAATGTGGCGGCATTAAAAATGCGTATAATGGCTTCGGCACAACCGACGAGTATGAAGCGCGCATTCACCGTCAGGCAATTGGCGCTCGTTGTACGACACTGCACCCACTTGTCCAACAAGCGGCGTGAACTGAATTCAACCAAATGACCCTGTCGGGTAATGGCATATGTGCGATCCTTAGTCTCATCTTTGCCGCAGGCGACCGCACAAAAGTCATTGTCACGCAAATCACCCAATATGGCACTGCGACCCATCAACGGTATGGGATCCTTGTACTGAAAGTGAAAGAGGTGAGTTTTTAGTTGAATTAATTGGAGTTTTTACTTACCCTGCGTCCACCCTCCATATACCAGTATTTGACATGACGATTGCCCACTGTGACAAAGTAGCTGCCATCCTCGGCAAAGCTTAGCGCCGACACTTTGGAGCTGATTTTATTCGAGGCCATCTTTTGATTCGACCGCCAGTCGAATACATTCACAATCATATCATGTTGTGAACCGATCGATACCAGGTACTTGCCGGTGGGTGAGAAGGCCTGCAAAGTGAAGTGAGTATACAGTTTGTATTGGATAAGAAAACAGGCACGTATATTTCAAATGGACTTTGGGGTCCAACTTACCACACATGTGACGGCATATTTGTGATCGAAGAACTCCGCCACCACATTGCCGCCGGTGGTGTGCTCGAGGTTGCCATTCGGCGAGTCTAGCTCCCAAACTTTGATGGCGGGATTGATGCCACACTCGCCGGTGGCGACATAACGGCCGCAGCGTGAGAATGCGACCGATGTGAATGGTTTGCGGGATGTGTTGACCAGGTAGGCCTGTGTTTGACGTTTCGCGTTGAACAGGACCACAGTGCAGCTGCAAGAAAGGCAAAGGAAAAAGGTTAGTATATCGAAAAAAGAGGCAAAAAGTGTAATGCCAAGGAAAGCACTCAGCATATTAAATGTGAACACATAAATCACTTTAATATAATATAAATTATTTATAAGCAAGTAATTGGCAGCGCGACGCTCAGTCCCTTTCATTAAAAAATCACCTGCTGACTTAATTAGCGCTTAAATGGCTTTTCAACCGTTTTATGCTGCATATTAAATATTTTGTTGCAGTTGCATGGTGAAAGCTTGCCCAAATCCTTTGTTAAGACTGTCAGGAAGGAAGTTCGTTCTAGCAATTCTTTTACAATGCCGAGCAACAGCGCAGCAGCAGTAAATTTACAAACACACTCGCTCATTCACATGCTAATATGGCATGACATAAAAAATGGCAAGCGAAAGTAAAGTCGTAACGTGTTTAAAAAAGCACGAAAGGAAATGAAAACTTTTATGCTGAAAAGAGGACAAGTGTAAAGTTGAGCAGCGGCTTGTGTGCCCTTGCCTTGACATTCTGCACACATTTAGTTCTAGAGTTGATATCAGTTTTCCTTGTATAGAAGCGCAGAGCTTAAACTAACGAAAGGAAACACAATTTATGCTTTCATTTTATGGAATTGTTTCAATAAAATCGAAAAAAATATGTATTAAAATTATTCAATATATTTTAACCCATCACAGAGGGCGACAATGTGGATTTTACTTCAAGAAACCACAAAATCCACATAATAATTTAGTAGGTTTTTGACAGTTTTAAATATTCTAAAAACATTTCATTTCCGAAATCCGAAATATTTCAATATACAGTAGTATCAAAGCGGTCCGATAGAAGCTAAGCCTCAGCACTGTGAGAAGACAAAGCATGTTTCGTATAGTAACTTGTTTTTCAATAGGTACGCTACAAAAATAGACCGATAAGGACAGAAGACACGACACCACATTTTTTCCCGGTAGTATTGAGAATATTACTGTCGCTAGCGCATCAATCGGTCTCTCACACTGACTCGTTGGGCATCACTGTGGCGTCGTTGTGGCGAAATTTGCGTAAAGATCTTGACCTTCATTCTTGCAAGATCAAATTGACTCAAGAACTGAAACCGCTTGACCAACCGAATCATCACATGTTCGTGAATTGGGCTCAACTAGGCTCATTTCTGGCTGAATGACTTCCTCACTAAGCAAAATTTGCGATATTGGTCAGGCAGCAATACACACGTACTCCATGAGTCACCATTGCATACCGAAAAATTTACGGTTCGTTGCGGTTTACGAGTCGGCACGTCATTGGTACATACTTCTTCAGTGATGATCAAGACCAGCAAGTTACTGTGATTGGGAATCGCTACCGCTCAATGATAACCGAATATTTTTAGCCAGAATTGGATAATATGTAGTTCCAACAGAACGGCTCCTCAAGCCAAGTGTTGTAAACGTGTTATCTCATGAAATGACCCAGTCAATTGTGCTCCTCGGCCGTTCCATTTCACGCCGTTAGACTATTTCCTGTTAAAAATCCCAGTAAGTCATATCTTGCGTGGAATATTGAGGATGACAGAGATATGGACGTGATGCACTTGCTCATTACGGACAACAAGTGCAACCATAAGCCCAGTTTTGGCGGTGTTTTGGCACCGAAATATTTTCTGGGTTTTCTCGTGACCACCGATGAAATAATGGTAAGTACTAGAGACCAAAACGCAGTCGAAACAGTCGACTTTACTCGGTGAATTTGCTACGGAGAAGACGCCCAGAGAGCGAACAAGTTGCACCAGACCTAGACTGGGTTATGATATCGATTGCGGCTGATGCACTGAGCCACGGACGCTAATATTTGCTTAAGCAGCGCAAGTTCATGCAATGCTTGCTCATATTTTTACTTCAACAGCTTAATATACTTATACAAATTTCCATGCACGTTATGTAGCATATATGTAAAACATAAACATGCACGATTCGCGGCCGTTCTTTCAACACACCAGGCAAGTGTTTGTATAAGTAAAAGCTTTGAAAAGGCTCTCTGCCGATGTGCAAGAGCCCCAAAAGCTTGTTGGTAAGTCAATCAGTCAGCGAATCGCGCGACTACCACCCATTCGCTCCATAATTCTAACCAACACAGTAGAGAGTAATGGTAAGCGGCCACCCAACAAATTTGCCTTGTGAAAGACAAATGTTGCCACCCTCTCTCTGTCTCCTGCCCCTAAATCTCAACAATTTGCAAGTGTTTGCCAGCTGTCAACACGCTGCAGGCCATTCTGAGATTGTCAGCCGGGGTTTCGGACATTTTATCGTATACATTAAGCGGCTGTTGAGGCTGCCAAACCAAGCTACTTTGCGCGGAAAATCCATCAGCAGAGCTAAAGCTCGTGTGCTGTTATATGTGTCGTGGTTAAGGTTGCATGTGGTCCTTCATGCTACGAGGCCATACTGCCCCCTCCCGCCTACTTGTCATCTCTTATCGCTTAGTTTGAGCTACGAATTCATCTCTTATTTATGACAAATGCAGCTGTGGCCCGCATTCAAAGTCGCATTTGGCAGTCGCTTCCCTCCTCTCCATCATTTTACAATACACACACGCACACATACATGCGCTTCAATGTTGTCTCAAACAATCAAGGACAAAGGACAAAGTGCGCGTTCAGCCAGAAAGTTATGCTTCCGTGTTGGCTGAAAACCTCTGCACGGCGTTGAAATAGAAAATCACATTGTGCACCGTTATGCGAAAATAGTGGCGTCTCAACTAGGCGTATACGTAACTTTTCAGCGAAATTTACAAATGTTTTAAAGCTTGCTCAACGGTCTCTGTTTTTTCTAGCTGAATTTACATTTGGCTAATGCTATTTACTTACACTCAGCATAAGCTCAGCTTGTGTTGTTGTAGTCATCGATTTCAGGCGTTATTGTGAAATGTAATCAGCGTGATGCATTCATTCAATAAGCATCAGGCTGCCAAATTCAATTTTGTGCGCATATATTTTTCCCACTGCCGAATAAACAGCTGAAGATATGCTGGAAAATTAAATTGCATGCACGAGTGCAGATTCGTAGTTGCGAACATACATATGTACGTATGCAAGTGCAGAAGTGCAACTGGATGTGCATATTTTACTAGAAATGCGCGCAAGGTCTATTGGTAAGGAGGCAATAAATTGGACAGATATTCAGCACGAACTGACCAATTCCAAGCAGTTGAAATATTTTTGATTTTGTATGCAAATCGGATTTTCTATTTCAATTCAAGAACAATTTTTCGAAGTTTAAAAGCCGACAATAAAATAGCAGAAAGCAAAGGAAATTTAGCGGAAGTGAAAGTAAATCAAATTTTGATGCACACGTACGGAAATACTCAGATTTTAATTTATTCAGAGAGGATAAATGTAAATTATATTTGAGGTATTTATTTACTGGACCTTCTTCTTTCTGCTTCAAAAAATAAAAATATAAAAAACGAAAAAATGCTAACTTCGGTGGCATTGAAGTTGTAATATCCTTGACATATACAAAATATTCCTTCAAGAACTTTATTTTGATCGGTCAATTCGTATGGCAGCTAAATGCTATAGTGAAGTGATCTGAATAAGCACCTTTGCTTTAGACGATAACTCATGCCAAATTTCTTGAAGATATCTCGTCAAATGAAAAAGCTCTCAATACAAGCACTTGATTTCGACAAATGAGCAGCTTCTTAGCTACGAAGTGTAAAAATTTTCAGATCGGTTTCTAAAAAACGGCAAATGGAATAGTATGCATACATTAGTAGTATGTATACAGACGGACATTTATACATAATTTTTATAGGGTCTCCGACTTTTCCTTCTAGGCGTTAAGAACTTCATGGCAATCCAAATATAATACATCCTGTTCAGAGTATAACAACCGAATTGAGCCACGCTCCTTTTATTAACTTTTTCTCTCTTTCCATTATACATTCAATTTTTCTATATCTCTCGTTTCTTCTCGCATTCATTCTCTCTTTCTCTCTCTCTGTCCATCTTTTCTTTTCACATTCACTCCTTCTCTCTCTTTTTTTATTGCATATTCAATTTCTCTCACACACACTCTCTCTCTCTCTCTTTCTTTGCAGTCTCAATTTTGCGGCGATTGAACTAGGGTTCCTTTCAATGTTCATCTTAATATCCGTATGCCCAATCAGTAGGAACGTTTATGGAAGAAACTGTTGCAAGTTTCAGACAGATAGAAGAAGCTTTAAGAAACAATATTCGTTAAGATAACTCGAGATCGGTTCTGCGTAACCAAAATGACCCCCTTCAGGATTAAAGGACGAGAAAGCATACTTATATTGCTAAATAATCAAGGGACCCTTTCAAAACATTTATATATATAGTATCACTAATTAAAATGGTGTTGAATTCAGAATCATGTCTTCGGATTATTGCATAAGTATATTGTTTTTGGTCATCAAAAACGATGTAGAAACTATCCAACGTGTTCTTATGTAGTTTTGAATGATCGAGAACGTATTGCAAATATCTCATAATCTGTCTAACTTTTTTTACATTTACTGCCAACATACTTGTTCTGTGAAAAACTGGCAGAGAACTCAGCTCTTAGGCTGAGGGAATCCCAAATAGTCGCCTATAATAAATTCTATCACACTTAGTAAATTCCCGTTTTCACCCATTACCACGGATTTTTGGAATCCTATAGAATTATGTAAAACTAAATTTGTTGCCTTATCTTTCCGAAAAGAAAGGGAAAGGAGTGAAGAAGATAGGAACGCTAAGAAGAGGAGACTATAAAAAAATTTTATATGCGAATGCAAAGTTTCTTGACGACACAGGTTGCACAAATAAAACTTTTTGTACTGATGAACTTAATGAGAATCATAGTGAGGTTCAGAGAGTAAACAATAGAGTGAGGGGATATTATTCCCGGTGGTATCACAATGGGTTTCCTAACGGCGTAGGTGCGCCGTCAGATAGCTACTCTAGCTAACTACCTCTTCAACAAATATTATATACCAAACCCTTCTTACTTTCGACGGTGACCTAATTTATAATTCTAACCTTTGTGGAAGACTAAATACTACAGCTAAATACTTCTCAACAAACGTAATGAGACCACAAAGCCTTTTTTTTTTTTTTTKCGCTTAACCCACGACTTGAATAAGTACTTTTCACTTGCTTTCCGCAAAGTTTAAAAATAAGCGTCTATAATATCAAATTGCGCCATGTACTCAGTGGAAACTCATTTCGCTGCGGCTGAGCTACTCGCTGCTGCTTTTAGTTGTAATTAACGAGAAAAAGTGTTTTTCCAACTTTCAAAGATACGCGGTTGCGGTGCAAACAACCGTTATATGCACTTAAAAACGCCCCAAAAACGGATATTGACAAACAACAACAATTCGGCACAAGTTTGTGTTTGTTGCTTTTGTGGTTAAATCGAAAAAAAGTACACTTACCCTGCTGGATAGGCCAAGAGACCGCTAACGGGCGAAACATCCAAGGCGGCATTGCTGCAAACTGTGAGGCCGAGCACTTTTTTGAGCTTTATCTGCAAATGAACGGAAAAGCAAACACAGAGAATAAATGGTTAGAATTGATCAAATGGTGAAAGAAAGTGAGAGGATTTCAGTACATATAAGTGTGGTGGGCAGAATTTTGGTTTTAATGTTTTTTTGCTGATTTTTGGAAAGCAAAATGTCCAATCGATACGTGTTGACATGTGGCAAAATGTAACGTATCAGCACTGCATGGAAGTTATTCATGTTTGGTATGTATGTATGTATATGCATACAGATGTGTGTATGTTTGTAGTATGTTTACTGTTAGCTGCGAATGCTTTGCTTGTGCAAATAAGAGTTTCATGCTATTTAAAATTCATTTAATTTACTAGATCAATCAAATGCTGTCGCATTCAATTCGATTCTAAAATGTATGGGTTTAATTTAATTATGAGGAGCTCGGGTAATTGCGGTGTATCACTTATTTTAAAATTATTTAAAAATATGTGATTGAATTTTTTATAAAAAAAAATTAGAAAAATAAAATAATAAAAAAAATGAATACAAAATTTAATCTTAATTATATACAAAGTAATTAAAATTTATAAAAAAAAGTCAAAAAATTAAAAGAATGAAAAATAAAAAGAATTAAATCAAATTAATAAAATAAAAATTAAAAAAATATGAAAAAAAATAAATAAATTGAAAAAATTAAAATTAAATGATTATTAGAAAAAAATTATAATTACAGAAGAATTAATTAATTCGATTTAATTCAATAAAAAAGTATTAAAACATGAAATACGAGCATATACATATGCACATAATTAACAAAACGATAAAAGATAAATTGCAATATAAAAAGAACGAAATTGAAATAAATTTTTTTTTTGCAATTTAAAACTTAACAATTGTTGCCTATATTAATAAAAAAATTGTATATTATATAAATTGTTTATTTATTTAACATTTTTTAATTATTTAACACCTTTTCCATTTAAAAAATAATATGAACAATTAGTTAATATAAAGTAAAAATTATAATGTAAAAGATAGGAAAAAAAGATACATGGACACATAGTTAATTAATCAAAAAAAAAACAAAAATATATTGTGAATTTTTAATTTAAAAACATTAATTAATTTAAAAAATTAATAAATAAATAGAAATTAAAATAAAAAAAGTTCTTGTAAGCTAAAATTAAAAATTGTTGCACTCGATTAATTCAAAAAATGTAATATAAAATTTTTAGTCCTTTAATTTTTTTTAATAAAATAAGTATCTTTAACATTTTTTCTAAAGTTTAAAATACCGGCGCTTAACTTCACTAAAAATTGTGAATTATTTTTATTTTTATAATTTAAATTTTTATTATCGAAAAAAATTGTCTTTTAATTTCTTTTACTTAATCAGTATATATATTTTTTTTACGTATTTAAGTAAAATTGTTTCCTTGAATAGTTTCTTCAAATTTTACAAAATTTTGCACTGACTTTAATTATTTCAGAAATTTTAAA